TGATATAGAGGGTACAAAATATGCTACGTCAACAGATGAACGTCAATAAAGATGAGAATTTCACTTCGCTAGTTGTACGTCTGGCAGTAGCTGGTGTTTGGATGCCGGTCAGCCATGTTTAAATGCTCAATTGGCACTGAGGAAAAAAGCCCTACAGACCTGTCATTTCCTTGGAGTTTTGTTGATCAGGTTTTCTGCCATGCTGTCTTCCCGTTGAACACTGGTGCAGTTGATATGGAGGTCAGTTATTTCACTGTAGTGGAAAACATTTCATGTCTGGTTCACGTCTGGCAGCAGGTCTGGTACTTGAATGCCGGTCCCTCTTTTGTCATATTTAGTCCATTTCATTGTCGTCACCATCAGTTTTTATGTCATTATAGGTTCCTTGCATGTTGTTGCAGCAGTACTTGCAATTTGGCCATCACTGGAGGTCAGATAGGCCCAGGGGACGGCAAGATATAGGAGCAGCCTTGTTGCTGCTTGCTGCGGCTGCGACTCCAGTTCAAAACAGTGTTCTGCATTTATGGGTATTTCATAAGTATCAAAGTTAGCAAGAACATAAAAATGAAACTATTGAATAATAATAAAAATCTACAACACTTACTCATGGTGCTCTCAGCATATATGAAGGAATTATGCTTGGAATGTTTGGAGAGCTTTTCACCTATTTTGTCTATATTCTGACTCCCAGTATCTTCTATAGTTGTCGCTGTCCCGACTGTCTCTTTATCTATCTCATCCTGGAAACAGTGAAAAATAAACATTCTCGAACATAACCTTGTGCCCACTATTAGTACATGCAATGCATTTACTGCCCTGAATGAATTTAAATTACTATAATCAAATTCAGTGAAAAACATTAAACCAGTAAGGGTTATATAGGAAGGGGCTGTATAGCCCTTGTGGCTTAGCGCTTCTTTTTTGATTATAATAATAATAATAATAATATATAGGAAGGGGAAGATGAGTTCAATTCCTTTATACAGCTTAAGAGTCCTTGAGCTGTATAAAGGCATCCCCCTTGAAGGGATTAAATTTTGTAGTTTTTTTCTTTTGAAATTAAGAACAGTAATTAAATTACTAAATATGCTGAGTCTTTAAAGAAAGAATACTATAATGATTTCTGAATTTTTCAAAATTTATTTAAACTTAATTAATTCTTTGAAGACTACACATATACATGTCATGAGAACTTAAACCCACAACTGGCATAATTATTCAAAGAATCATTATTATCTCACCTTACTCTTTGTGAGATCCCCTTCAAGTTCATGGCTGTGTCCATGAGCATGACCATTTCCACAAAAGATATTGTGGAAGCGTTCCAAGAAAAGGAATAAAATTATTCCGCCTAGAGCAGTGTAGCCATAAAATGCATGCAATACATGCGTACTGCCACTCGACGAAATGTCCATGGTTAAGGCCTGAAAAAGATATTACCTTATGTATTGTGTAAGCAGCAGATGATGCAAAGACTCTTTTTAACACTGTTGTCACCCACCAAAGTAGGGCAACCTAAGAGAAGAAGCACTTTTACCATCATACATTCAATCACTGCCTTGCTAGAAGCATGCTGACATGACAATTCAGATGATCCTCTGAACTGCAATCTCCCCATCTTTTCTTCTGAGTACAAGCACCATACTTCTCAACTCCAGGACTCTTAAGTCCAGTTAACCAGCTTCCTTGAATCCCTTTGTAAATGTTATGTTACTCACACTCCAACAGCAAATCGTAAAAGCCACTTGCCTCTACTCTTACATAACATGTGCACACAAGCCTGATAAGAGGTCCAAACTTGTACCCACTCGAAGCTTCCCTTACTCCCTCACTCCAACCCTTCCTGGGACAACCCCTACCCCTCCTTCCTGCCACTCCAAAATTAAATGCTCTCCTAGTCAACCTAATTTTGCTCAATCCTCTTTCAATGTCCTCTTGTGTACAATGTCCTGTTTGTGTACATACCATACAAATATTTTTTTATGGTGGTCTTGAGGGTACACGAGTGTTGTGGACACACAAAACCTTGGGGAGCATTAAAAATAAGTTGGACAAATATAAGTGAGAAAGGTTGAACTGGAGATGGGCCCACTTAGCTTAATTAAGCCAGTCAGTCTACTGCAATGTTCCTTTTTTGTTATGTATTTTTTGTTATTTTTACATACCTTTTTGTGGTAGTATGAGCTCATAAGAAGGGGGTTTTAACTATTTGGGTATTTATTTTGAAAAAAAAAAAAAAAAAAAAAAAAAATATATATATATATAATATATAATATATAATATATATATATATAACTGGTAATTTTTGGTAGTGTAGTAAGATGTACACATAGTAACATAAAATAACATGAGGTAAGAGATGAATGAGGGCATCTCCTGCTAATGTTCCTACAGCCAGGGCCATCAGGAAGCGGTTGACTCGGTCGTAATGCTGACCACGTTTCAATGCAGGGATCAGCATGATGCATGCCAACCCTGCGAGTCCAATAACAATCATGCTTGTTACAGCTCCAACCCAACTTTCTGTAAGAATAAACAGAGGCATATAAGCACAAAACAAGTTAAACAAGATACTGTACTTTAAGGGAGGAGAAAACTCATGCTATTGCAAAGAAGTACGTATTTTTGATATCTCTATTACACTATACCAGCCATCTCTGAGTACACAGCCCACCACAAAAGCCAGGACCATTTTTATCTCATACATGTGCCCACTTACTGACTCATTTCATGGTACACGGCTCTTACCCAGAGTAAATTTTCCACTATCACTGTTATAGCTTCGATGACTGTGCGAATGTCCATGGCCCCCATGATCATGTTCATCTGTGTGATGAACAGTCATGGTGCAAGTATCCACATAGTTGACAAGGCCAGGACATAGAGACAGGAACTCACGTGCTGTCACAGAGTCACTGATCGATAATCTTGATCCTTCTAATACATCTGCAATCCCCTCACACTGAAAAAATATTAAATTAAATTAGTTACATTATATACACCATCCTGTAACACTCAACAGGTTGACACAATGATGATGAAAAAAATTACTCGAGATAAATCCACAATATTTGAAACATCAAATAGATTCTTGTACATATCATTTGCCATTAAAATCAAAACTGTATCTCTTTACCCTAAAAAAACAAGCAATTGTGTAACTAGCTGTTTCAAACAACAAACCACTCATAATGTATCCAGTGTATATATAAAAATCCTTACAAAGTCTAACGAATGATACACAGGGCAATAGGTAGAAACTTAATCAATAGCATTCTGGAACTTTCCAGACTGTTAAGAATCATAATTATATTATTAAAAATGAAGTTGTTTCTATTCTATATAGAAGAAATTGCATGAAAAGTATGAAATTCTTGAGTTAACTATAATTGCATCTCGTATCAATTTCAGCCTCACACAAGGCCAGTGGAAACCTGCTGCTGTAACTGTCTTTGTCCTGAAGTCAGTTGTTCCTGTACTTGACTTAGATCATGTTTTTTTCCTTTGTACACTTTTTTGTTAGGTGATAAAAGATCTCAATGTGAGGTCAAAATATAAATTATTCATCTTACCATGTTTAACTGTTTCCACGAGGATTAATCTGTACCAGCGAGCTTTCTTTGAAGGCTTCATGATGCCCCCCCTCATGCCATTTGTGCTGCTAAACAGCATTTATTATAGATAAGTAAGACACACATGCAATAGTTGATGAAATGTTTTGTCTGCACAGTAGGTTTTCAGTGAAATGCAGAGAACTATAAAGACAGCAGGTAGCAGAGGAGGATAATGATGGTGACTGATAATGATGAGTGATGACTGATGAAGATGCAGCAGCAGTGGTGGTGGTGGCAGCAGCAACAAAAGTGAAAGCAGTAGTACTGGGCTACCAGTACAGCCTCTATTGCTACCATTGCCTCTCCCTAATCCTCCATCTCTCATATATTCTGGCCTCCTTCCTTCTCGCTTCTGTGTGACTTTTCAATGGTCCAAGTCAGACTGAAATATCATTGCTTTCTTTCTCCTAAGTGCAGGGTATTTGTCTATTGTTTCAGCCTTTGAATTGTGACTTTATATTCTTTTTCAAACCACTTAAAGCACCTGTAAATTTTGAAAGTGAAAAACTCTTAAAAGTTCCCAGAGGTCCATACAGGTAACCCAGTAATTGCAAAAACCATTAAGTGAAAAGGCCAAAGAAATAGACAGATTCAATGTGCTACACTGTCAGTAACATGTCAAAAGTCATACAGAGAGGGGCTGAAGCACCTAGTAGTAGATGGGTGAGGTGTGTGTGCATGATACTCAATCTATGGAGACCCTTCTCAAGGTGACAATTGCTGCTGAAAGAGGAGGGCCAAATACCTGTCCTACCACTCTTTATACCTTGTTGCTTGTCTGTAGGGCCCACATTGCCCACCACTTTCCAATGGGCGTTGTCCCTGTATGTGGCCCATAAATTTACTATGATACATTTTTCTGCTATAAAGTAAGCTTGAAATAACCTGAGCAACAATAGAATTCCACGTCCTTCTGCTAGGCATAAAGATGTGCTGACCACGTCTGGGGCTAATAGAACACAATGGGAATCCAAGTAGACAGTGAACCAGAATCCATTTAACCGAGTATTCAAGAAGAGAGTAACGAGGATCACCTGGAGTTCCACAGAGAACATGTTTGGCAACTGTGCACAATAAAAGTCCTCCAGGGTGATCACTGCAAAGCCAACCTCTCTGCTCTCAGATACATTGAGGTCACATTCTAAGAAGGCAGGCCACACCTAAACAAGAAACAGCACGTACATGAATGGTACACAATACCGACAAAATGAAAATTAGATACAAGAGCAACATCTGGGTATCTTTATTGTAGACATTTCGCCATCCACTGGCTTTTCAATACAAATTCAAGGACATAACTGGAATATAAGAACTATATACAAAAGATGAGGTAATCAGTCGCTCAGTCTTGAAATTGGTGCTCTTCACACCAATTTCAAGGCTTAGAGACTAATTACCTCATCTTTTGTATATAGCTCTTATTTCCATTAGGTCTTAATTTATATAATAAGGCCGT